TGGCTATGTTAAAAAAAGGTGGCAAAACCCATGACACTGGCAAAAACTTTTTTAAAAAGAATGGTTGGTAGATTTTTCTTAATTCAGCCTTGGAAGCATGGCTTTTTACACACTTCCTGCAAATAAAGAATTACATTTTTTTCATGTTTAAGTAATAAAAATGTTTTTGAAAAGCAGGAACATCTGAAAGGAAGAGCCAAAGTGCATGTCTGTATAAAATGTAACAGGGCAGAGGCTTAATCTGACAAGCACTTGAACTATCAGCCTACTGTAAATAAAATTAAATAATAATCTAAACTCTTCAGGATCAAGTAGTAAAACCAGACCAAGATGGGGCTAAATATGTAGAAGCCTGTCAAGCAACTTTACACTTAAATTTCGAACTGTTACTGACAAATATAAGCACCTGTTTTACTCTTTAAGCACAATCATGCCAACAGGATGGATGTTTTCTAAAGGCAGAGATTATCTTTTCAAGTTTTGGCCCAAGGGCATAATTCTCTGCAAAGCTCAGCAGCACTAAGAGTGTAATGAAGTTGTTTGACAAGCTAACCATTTTATAAACGCATGAGTTCAGCTTTGCAAAGCCAAATGATTATGTTGCAAATAGGCAGCACTAGAAATGTTCTGTTCACTTACAGCTTCAATCAAGTAATTAGCTCATCTCAGAAAGCAATGCTAGGAAAGGACTGTTACACAAACATGCCAAAAAGCAGGTCACATCTACTGCTACATTCTCATATTCTCCACATTACTCTATAACATACAGTCCAGTAGGAGACACTGCCAGCACTAATATCAGGCATAATCCTTGTTATTAAAGTGATAAAATATCCCTCCTTATGACAGTAGGCCATTCAGATGTCTCCCTCACTTCCCATAGAAACAGATGTCATAGGTATGTGCTACTGGAAAAAAAGCTATCTGTCCACCTCAGGGAAGTACAGAGTTACTCCTGGATAAAGCAGAACAGCTCAGTATTACAAAAGTTCCTTGTAACTGCAAGTTTTCCAAGTAAAATGTAATGCAGATTATCTTTTTGAGCCCAAATACATCTCTGGTGTTACTCGGATTTCTCAAGAAGAAGAAAACTTATAGTGGCATACAAACTGAATTTATTCACTACTAAGTATTTGTGAGTAACACACACAGTTAAAATAGAAAATGAACTGGCATGGGAAGCTACTGCAGGCACAGCACAGTAAAATCACACCCTACAGCCTACCTTCCAGTGGGAAACCCCACTGCAGTGTTTCTATCGACCACAGATGGCCCCAAAATATAGAACTAACGAAGAGAAGACTGTCAAAAGTTGATGAAAGAGAGAGACAACTTATGACATATGCACCCCAAAACCCTTTCTCTTCCTCATAACTTACAAGGGAAAAGAATATGCTGTAGTTTCACTAAAATAACATTCTTTGCTGGTGGAGCTACATGTGCAGAAAGGAGAAGCATCATATCCTAACTTGCTTCTGCACAGCATTCCAAGTTACAAAAATCTAGACCTTGTTAATTGTTAAATTTTTATATAAGTACAGATACTTCTCTGACTACCAACTGTACCTAATATGACACAGAAATACAAAAAATATTTCATCCAGTCTCCAAAAGCTCTACCCTAGAAACTTTACACAATGCATCTTCATCACTTGGCTGACTTAACAGGACAAACAGCAGAAGCCTCAGTGCAAACAGTTAACCAGAAAAAAAAGTACTTTCGTTTTTAACTCCGGGAGCCGGCTGGCAGCAATCTGCCTCTACCCTAGAAAAGGCTTCTACTAAAGATTAAACCCCAGATAAGAGAGCCCCCCAAAAACTAGTGCCATTTAAACACCTTACAAGAATCACAGCCATTCAAAAATAACAGACCCTGCTGCTTTAGTTGACTTTACCTTGTAACCTGTGCTACCAAGAACTTTAAACAGATGTGCTAAGAATAATCAGGACTCTTTGTGTTTAATTCACATATGAAAACGTGAGTTAAACACAAAATTCCACTCTCACAGTGGAAATATATTCCAAATAGCCTGTTTCAGTACCATTACTAAAAAGACTATAATGAAGTAAAAAACGTGAGAGGGGAACAGAGCACAACAAGTTTTATTATATACAACAGGTTGCATTATATACCATTATTAGGCAGATTGTATAACTAACTCTATAGCTATGTAACAGAACCGTGGCCCACAGTGAAATGAAATTCCACAGACTCAAACAGCAAAGGTGGTTTTTTTTTATTTTTCCCCTTTAAGAAACGCATCAACCAGTACATCACAGAAATATAAAGACAAAAATGTTCAAAACCATTCACTGCTTTCAAATGATTTCTCCAGGCACGCATTCTGTGTATATTTAGTACCAACTTTTATCAGCTGACATGCATAAAATGTTGCAGAGTAAGTTGTAACCAATTCAGAAACAACCCTTAAACTTTTTCCCTCTCAACTATCAGGTAATGTTACACTGTACTGTATCTCCTAACTGTTTGTATATAGTGTATATATAGTGTTATATACACACCATTTGTATGAGCAATAAAGAAACGAGTGTTCTTTTAGGAAAAAAAAAAAAAGGATTTTCACCAATTGAAATAAGATTTCTGATTGCATTAACATCAGTATTTCTGCAGTTCCCTCCGATATCATAAATATATGACACTGCCATCATTTTTACTAAGTTTTTGTAAGATTGATTCTTTTAGGTTAAATCTTGTTCGGTTTCCAAGGATACCCGAATACGTCACTTTTCACATTCCTTGTGCCTTAGCCCGTAGCCTTTTTTCCAAAAACCTGAAGGGAGGGGGAAGGAAACTAAAGGGAGGGATGAGGCTGGCAGCCAAACCTGCTCTTCAGGGGTTTTATCCTGCAGCACGGCCGAAGGGAGCTGAACCCTGGAG